ATCACCTGGGACACACCTGGGACACACCTGGGACACACCTGGGACACACCTGGGACACACCTGAGACACACCTGGGACACACCTGGGACACACCTGAGACACCTGGGACACACCCGGGACACACCTGGGACACACCTGGGACACACCTGAGACACCTGGGACACACCCGGGACACACCTGGGACACACCTGGGACACACCTGGGATCACCTGGGACACATCCGGGACACACCTGGGACACACCTGGGACACACCTGGCATCACCTGGAACACACCCGGGACACACCTGAGACACCTGGGACACACCCGGGACACACCTGGGACACACCTGGGACACACCCAGGACACACCTGGGACACACCTGGGACACACCTGAGACACACCTGGGACACACCTGGGACACCTGGGACACACCTGGGACACACCTGGCATCACCTGGGACACACCTGGGACACACCTGGCATCACCTGGGACACCTGGGAAACACCTGGGACACACCCGGGACACACCTGGGACACACCTGGGACACCTGGGACACACCTGGGACACACCTGGGATCACCTGGGATCACCCGGGACACACCTGGGACACACCTGAGACACCTGGGACACACCTGGGAAACACCTGGGATCACCCGGGACACACCTGTCACAGCTGTCTTTACCTGTCACACCAGTCACACCTGTGTCACACCTGTGTCACACCTGTGTCACACCTGTGTCACACCTGTCCCACCTGTCAATGTGGAGAATTTTGGAAGAATTTGGGGATTTTGGGGGTCCCTGGTGGGAAATTTGGGGTGGATTTGAGGAGTCCTGGGGGGTTTCGGGGTGAATTTGGGGGGGCCCGGGAGGAATTTTGGGAATTTTGGGGAATTTTGGGGGGATTTTGGGGAATTTGGAGAATTTTGGGGGGATTTGTGGATTTTGGGGGTCCCTGGGCGGGGATTTTGGGAGGGTCTTGGGGGGGGATTGGGAAATTTGGGAATTTGGGGATTTTTGGGGAATTTTGCCCCCCCCCCC